GTTCAAAGTTCAGTCACTTAACTAGGCTAAAACAGAGAAGTATATTAATGAGTAGTGGGTAAGGGACTTTTATAATAACTTGTCCTTGTCCTGAAACTTTGTACTCTACGAATAGGTGTCTTGAGCTCTACATAAACAAGGAGAAAGCTATCTGATATAGGGAATGAACACATGGTCTAGCTTTCTAGCTAATTAGTGTGATATTCCTAGTTCTTTTCTAGGTTAAGGAAGCAAATCTGTTCTGACGTGATGCCAACTAAATGTATGATCTGATTGTTCCAGTTATCCTGTGCCAAAAAAAGCAAAACTGGGCTTTCTAGTGTTCATTACAGAATATCGAACACATTTGGTGTTAGCCTGCCTGAGAAACGAGCCACGGTTAAAAGCTTTCTAGGCAATTTAAACCAGGTTGCTGAGCTTTGAAAAAATTCTACAGTAAAATTTAGAAGACGAAAGAACTTGGAGAACATACATGCTCTGGGCTCTTACAAAGAATGCGGCACTCAAGCAAATATGAACCAGACTCAGAGCAAAGCCGACATGAATAATATAAGGGCAGATTTTACGGGAGGGAGGAGAGGGGAAGGGACGGCGTTATGTGCATTTGTAACACAGGACAAAGACAAGTCCAGTTTATTCCAATAAACTAAGCCCAGTTTGCAGATTCTATGAGGTAGGATCATCACTGGGAACTCAGGTGAGGCCGGGAACAATCTCCTGAACATCAACGTCATGTTCAAGCTTCTACTCCTTGAAATGAGCCAAATTAAATCCAGTTCCAGAATTCCTCTGGCAATCATATCTTGATATTCATCTAGATATCTGGCTTCTGGGTGAAGGATCTGGAGGAAAGAATCGGGAAGCCTGCTCCAGAATGTATGGGGGCCAGGGGATGGGACAAAATCTCTTCACATAAAATATTTCCTCACATATAAACTGACTCAATTATTTCTAAGGCATTTGTTCCCCTAAAATATTGTAACTGTATGAAAGAAATGTGATAGTCTTATTTCATGGGAGGAATCATTTTCTCAGCCAAAAGCAAAACAAGGTACTACCAATATGTCTAAGAAGCCCTGGTGACACAGTGGTTAAGCGCTTGGCTGCTAACTGAAAGGTTGGCCATTTGAACCCACCAGTGGATCCTCAGGAGAAAAGACCTGGAAATCTGCTCCTGTAAAGACTACAGCCAAGAAAACCTTCTGGGCTAATTCTACTCAGTCACATTGGGTTGCTGTGAGTTGGAATCGACTTGATGGCACCCAACAACAACATCACCAGTATGCCTAGGCCATATAATGTTAATGCTTTAGCTTTCTTTGGTTTTCCTTGAGATACAGAATTACTCATTTTCATGGGGGAATTTCTAGTCTGGAGCAAACAAAGACACTAAGGGAGCAGATACACATATGTGGTGGCCACAAAGTGTGTCACTCAGCTCTCCCTTCCGGAGAACCTGCTGTGAGGGCCCAGTTGGCAGGCAGCTTCCGGTTCCTGTAGCTTCACATTCATGGGGCATTCGTGTCAAGGCTACGCCTTCCCTGGGCAGCTCCCAGTCAATGACTAAGCAGGGTGGGGGCACTTGCACTACATCATTCCTGCGCAAGGTAGGTTTCCTCTAACAGGTAGCCTTTGCTCAGGGCTCCACATCAACCTGGCCAAGATGTTCTCAGAGCTCACTGCATGCTAAGGCTCCTAGTACCAAATTCTGCATCCTTCCCTCTCTCCTTTCACAGGTGTCAGGTTGCAGCACAATCTGAAGACTCTTCCAACGTACTTCTGCTCCATTTCCCCTCCTCTGCATCTCTCACAGGTACTTCCCCCCAAAATCTCTTGATTATCTAGTTCTGTCTTGGTATTTGCTTCTTGTAGGTCATGAACTGACACATGAAAGGAAAGATTATCTCCTATCAAGAAGACCTGATAAGAGAAAAGAAGAGGATGGTCTATGTATTCTTGACTCTGCAGGGTTGGCCACCAGTTTCCCTCTTAGAATGAGGACCTGATGAAGCTCTTAGAATTGGGACTGTCAGGTAAGACATCACAAAGACTGCCATTCCCTTCTTGGGCAATGCCCATGAGGGTCAGATGATCCACCCTGATGTGGAGTGGAGGATCAAGGACCATGGCTCCATCTTGGAACCTGGGCTAATTGTGGATGAGGAGTGAGAGACTGAGATTCACACAAACAACCTCCAACCAGCTCCAAGTTTCTCAACTGAAAGTGAGGTGAGAAACTGGCTTTGTGGAGAAAAACAAACGTTGTATGTTCAAGTCCATGCTGAGGTTCCTTCATGCTTTCCAGTAAGGGTTCAGGCTGTACTTCTGGGATCTCTCCTTTCCCTCAAGGCTGCGCTAAATGTTCTTTTGTTCAGAATGACATTCTCTGGAGGGAAATGCTGGGGACATTTGCCTGATTTCACACCTCTCATATGGGCAGACAAGAGAAGAGCTGGCTTCAGATGTTTCCCTTGGGCTGTAGCTGGAAGTGAAACCCTGGTGGCATAGTGGTTAAGTGCTGCAAACTGCTAACCAAAAGGTCAGCAATTTGAGTCCACCTGGTTCTCCTTGGAAACCCAATGGGGCAGTTCTACTCTGTCCTATAGGGTTGCTATGAGTCAGAATTGACTCAACGGCAATGGGTTTGGGTTTTTTATTTAGTTTTTGGGTAGCTGGAAGAGTCTCAATTCAGAAAGCAAACAAGGACGGGGTAGGAGAATCATGGAGCATTATCCAAGGATAAGTCACATCTACATTATCAGCTTTATAACCTGTGACCTGGTAATCTCAGAAGATAATAATGAAATCATACTGACTTTTCTGCCCTGGGATTGTGGAGACAGACCCTGTGGCAGAAATCTTGTCTTACTCCACCACAGCCCACTTTTCTCCTTACAAGGAAAGAGCTTGTTAAATAGGTGATTCAGAGTTAGGTTTCCAGAGAGGCATACACTTATGGATTATCTTTCCTCAGGAACGGAGAAATACTTTCACATGCAGGAAGGAACACTGAATTAGGAGTTAGAAGCTCTAGGTTCTGTTTCCAACGCTGGCACAAACTTGCTGTGTAGCCTTGAGTGAGGCATCAAACCTCTCTGACCCTCGGTGTCCTCTGCAGTCAGATTGAATGTTGACATTAGATGATCTAGGTTGCAATATGCCATTTTCTACAGAGCCATAGTGTCCACATTAAAAAAACAAAAAACAACTAGTACACAGAGTATGACAATAGGAGCACATATTTGAAACTGGGGTTGTCCCCATAAATTTGGGTTTGGAACACTGGCTCTTTCAAAAAAAAAAAAAAGAAGATGTTTATAATTATTTCCTTTGAAAACCCTCACTGATCCTGAGGATTTCTACTAGAGCATCTTCTCAAGATACCACAAAAAAAAAAAAAAAGACACCAAGCCAGTTGCCTTGACTCGATCTTGACTCATGGTGATCCCACGTGTGTCAGAGTAGAACTGTGCTCCACAGGGTTTTCAATGGTTGTGATCTTTCATAAGTAGATTGCCAGGCCTTTGTTCTGAGGTGCTTCCGGGTGGATTCAAACTGCCAACCTTTGGGGTTAGTAGCCAAGTGCTTAACTGTTTGCTCCAACCAGGGACTCCTTCTCAAGACACAGAGACACATTATTCTCTACCTGGTTCAGAGTCTTGTTTACCAGGCATGTTCACCGAAAAAATGCATATTCCTGAAGCCAAATTTTACATAGAAGATAGATTACCCGTAAAATAAAGAAGTTACTATAACTTATCTCTTACAGTCCTCCCAGGAATATCACAAATAAATTCTTTTTATTCGATTCCCCAAAACATTAGCTACCGAGCAGGATATTAAATTTAGAAAATTTTATTAAAAACTTAGGGAAAAATAACATAAATCTCAAATACCTCTTCTCTACTTCTTTCCTGAATGCTAAATGCTATTATTACATAATTTTCTTATTAAAATAAAAATAAGGCCTATGAAGGACAAGCAGGCTGATTGCTCAGGTTAAACGCATAGAATTATCTGATATTTGGTAGTTCCCATAAAATACCCTTTTTTTCTTTGTCTATTGCTTCTTGTGTTGGAAAGTGGAGTTGTTTGAAAAATCTTTTCTGCTTTTCATCTCTTCATCAATCATCAGCAACTGGTGAAAAACCAAAAGCAAAACTGAAATAAAATCACTTAGGTTTGGGCTTCACATTACTCTGCGCCCAAACTGCACTGAGACCAGACAGATGGAGGGCCAGCTGTAGCCACACAGGATGCGGGTCACCAGGGACCCGCGTGCAAAACAGCAAGCACTGAGGGGGCCGATAGCCACTCTCTTCTGTCTGACAGCCTCTAGCTTGTCCAGCCCAGCGAGGCCCTCAGTGCTTGGTGGCAAACTGGGAATGCCATTTCACTGTTTACTTTGCTGTTTAGTCTGCACATGTGCAGAATGGAAACTCTTGGGGCAAGACCCAGGAGTCTGTATTTTAAAAGCTCTCCGGGTGATTCTGAGGCATGCTGAAGTTTGAAAACTACTATTTTACTTCTTTTGTTCATGCTTCTATAATAATAACTTTCATTTGTATGGAAACTGATATTGTCAAAGTGCTTCATCCATCCTCCAGTGAGAAAACAATCCTAAAATGGAGTGAGTGGCCTAAAATCTCCCAGCCAGTGAGCGATGGAGTCTACTCAGAGGTTATTTGTTTCTCCACTTTGAAACACAGAAATAATGTTTCCTATATATTGCAGTTTGGAGTCCTGGTGGTGCAGTGGTTACGAGCTCGGCTGCCAACCAAAAGGTGGCAGTTTGAATCCACCAGCTGCCCCCTGGGAACCCAATGGAGCAGTTCTACTCTGTCCTATAAGGTTACTTTGAGTTGGAACCGACTCGATGGCAGTGGGTTTGTTTTGTTCTTTTGGTTATATATGCAGTTTGCGCTTGTCTGCTAACCTAAAGGTTGGCGGTTTGAACCCACCCAGCAGTACTGTGGAAGAAAAGACCTGGTGATCTGCTTCTGTTAAGATTACAGCTAAGAAAACCCTATGGAATTCAGTTCTATTTTGCACACAGGGGGTCGCCATGAGTTGGCACAGAGTCGACGGCAACTAACAACAACAACAAGGTATCTGGACCTTAAAGGTAAGAATGCTAGTAAGGTGGACGAGGATCTCCTGGGGAAGGCCACCTGGCCGGCTGGAGAAGTGCCCCTGCCCTTGTTAACTTCACTGTTGACAGCAGCCCCAAACCTCCAAAACCTTTCTTGTCACTGGAATCCAAGAGGAGATCCAACTCCCATGGGTAGAGGCACATTAAACAGGCCTAGGGGCTTGAGTACCAGCATCTACAGGCAGCTCATTCCCTTTGGATAAGCATATACCCACTCAGGAAGCCAACTCACAACGGGAATGCTGCTTCTCCTGCAGAGAATCAGGAGAGAGAGTGCGCATGAGTGCATGCATGTGTACATGCATGCGTGTCTGTTTAGTTACATGACTACAATGTTAAAGTCAGGTTAAAATAGCCTGGTGTGCAAACCTGAGAAATGGGTCATTTTGAGGATCAGATGAGAGAATGCAGGAAAAAGTACTCTGTAAATAAATAAAATAAATATTAGGCAGCAGTATTATTATTGTGTACACGTAGACATTCAAGGTATTCTATTTTTTTAAACTAATTTTTACCAAATTTACCAAGTACTGCAGATCTCTCTCAGAATTCAAGGAAGCATTCAGAATGTGATATCTTACAACCCTTTGACACACCAGAGGTTGTGGCCATACCTTTTGAGACCGAGGCAGCTCGGCTTCCTTTGTTCCTTGGCTTTTCAGCTCTTGGGCCTCATGCTCGCATCTTCCCTGTTGGGGCAAGTGTTCCAAATCTCAGGAGCTCCACCGATAAGTGCCTGGAGGGACCCCACTCCTCCAGGAAGCCTCCTGTGCACAGGGACTCAGCTCTCTCGCTCCGTGGGTTGGCTCTAGCGCTGTCTGGCGCTGGTCTCCTGGTTCTGCTGCTGCCGCTTCTCTGCCGCTTTTGGTCCTCTGCTGCTGTTTCTCACCACCTTCTCCAGTGTTAGCAGTTCTCCTCACTTCTTCTGAGTCTTCTATCCATTCACAGTTTCAAAACCACTTCCACATTTTAGGTATCTGTTAGAGTAGCACCCCACTCTCTCGGTACCAAATTCTGCCTTAGTTATCTACTGCTGCTAGAACAGAAATACCACAAGTGGATGGCTTTAACAAAGAAATTTATTCTATCACAGTATAGTAAGCTACAAGTCCAAGTTTAGGGCATCAGCGTTTCTCTGTCAGCTCTGGAGGAAAGTCCTTCTCATCAATCTTCCTCTGGACTAGGAGCTTCTCTGCACAGGAACCCTGAGTCCAAAGGGCATGTTCTGCTCCCAGCACTACTTTCTTGGTGGTATGAGGTCCTCACTCTCTGCTTGCTTGCCTTTCCTTCTATCTTTTGTAAGATAAAAGGTGATGCAGGCCACACCCCAGGGAAACTCCCTTTACATTGAATCAGTGATGTGATTAGTAAGGGTGTTACAATCCCACCCTAATTCTCTTTAACATAAAACTACAATCACAAATTGGAGGAAAACCACACAATACAGGGAATTATGGCCTAACCAAGTTGACATACATTTCTGGGGGGCACAATTCAATCCACGACACTATGGGTCAGGCATGGTTCTAGGTGATTTAAGATACATAAGTGAACCAAATGAACAAAAATAGACAATAAATAATAAACGTAATAAATTAGTATTTTATATAATATCACAGAAGAGACTAAATGTTACAAAAAAAGAAGAGTAATGGGGGATGGAGGAAGAGGATGGTTACAGAGGAAGTTGAAAATGCAGTGGTCTAGGAAAGCCTCAGAGTGCTCCTGGTTGCTCAGTGGTTAGGCACTCAGCTGCTAAAAGAACGGGTGTCAGTTGGAACCCATCAGCCACTCTGAGGGAGAAAGTTGTGG